GGGGGGGGGGGGGGGGGGGGGGGGGGGGGGGGGGGGGGGGGGGGGGGGGGGGGGGGGGGGGGAAAGAGGTTGATACGGCATTCCGACCACGGAGTGTTGAACAGAGTGTCGTTTCTCATAGAATTGGTCAAAAAGACCTCCACTTATCACATATCCGCGTTTTTAGACCAAAAAAACGCACCAAGAAAGTGAAAAGTCAGCGAGATTCATCAAATGCTGCCGCATTGACCACAATGAGGCCGAGACGAATTTCGGAAAAAACGAAAGAGTTATTCAAGAAACGGCGAGCTTTGAAGAGGGAAGATCCAACGGGACCGGAATTTATGGAAGTTTGTAGGCAGATACGGGTGCAGATGAAGAAAGATTTCCAGCGGTATAAACGTTGGAAAAGAGGGCTAGATATATCATCATCGTCAGAAAGCAATAGCGAAGAAGAGACGGACGAGGAAGACGTCCCGGAAGAGAACAAAGCATTGCAAAATTCCGAATCTGAAGATGAAGCTGAATCTGAAACGATGGAGAAGAGTGCCAAAAGCAAAGAAGCTCAGACGACTGGATCTGAAGCAGTACAACAAATGGTGAGTGCTGAGCCAGCAGCCGTAGAAAAAGATTCTGAAAAAGTACCACCGGAGATATGTAGTGAAAAAATAGCGGAGTCGAAAGATGATGTTTCACCGAAGGTAATTGAAGGAGAACAAAAAATGGAACAATCAGGCTTGTCCTCCTGGACTACGCTCCCGGAATATGCTCAGAAGCAGCAAGGGGGTGGATGTTGGACTATGATTCCGCAGCATACCGAGAAAATACAAGATACTGCGGCAGAAGTAGCAGCATTAGCTTCTGAAAGCAGTGCAGCAGAAGCAATAACTTCTGGAAGCAGTACAGCAGCAGCGGCAGCAGCAGTAGTAGCATCAGCTTCTGGGAGCAGTGTAGCATCGGTTACCAAGCAGAATGTCCAGGAAGAAAGTGCAGCAACAGCAGTTAGCAAAGCCGATTCATCTGGATCGCTGGAATGTGACACGGAGTTGCCGACGATCAAGGGCAGGTATGGATGATGTTCGACGCCGAATGTGGAAGCGCTCGGCTCACTTGCCTGACACGTTCATATGTACCAAAAGCGGATATCGCGGGGTGAAATTGTATGCCGAGCACAATCTGCCCTCATAGGCTGGTTGTTATGATGCTTTAAGGAAAAGGCAGGACGAATTGCTTTGTCGAGGGTGACAAGGATAATCATTGCCAGTCAGTAATCGTCCTTAGTCGTGGTAGAAAAAGGCAAGAGCTTGGTCCTCATTTTTGAGGGTTTTTAACCTCATCAAAGTAAACGCGAATTATAATACGCTATCTCTCAGCTCGTTACCCACGCCGAGCTAGACCTATCCGCGTAGAAGAAAAATGTGAAGAGAAATGAGTAAAAGAACGGGAGAGAAAGCCAGAGTTTGGCTCTCTTGCTTGTTTCGTCCATGGACCAAAAGAGGATGTCGCTAGGGATGAAATTGTGGAGGATATCGCGGGGGTGAGTAAGAATTAGCTGAAAAATTCTGAATTGTGCTGGAAAGCGAGAAAATCAGTCAGAATTGCTAATTGTCATGCTGAGGGAGGAAGGCAGGAAATTGCTGTTCGGGTCGTTTCTTAATGCTTACCTTCTCACCGTCTATAAAATGAGAAGGGTCCTCATTGCCCAACTTCAGCGTTCGTTAAAATCATTAACCAGTGCGAGTCTCTACATAAAAAAAAAACCTTTTGTTAATAAGGTTACTGTGTCAGCCCTGCTTGGTACAACTAATTTTGGCTGGGCTTCTTTCGCCCTTTTTTTTTTCTGTTACTGAGGTTGCTTGAAAATGAAGCTGGTTTTTTAAAAGGATTTAAAACTAACCTCTTTTTATTGGACTTTTTTCCACTCTTTATGATAAACAAGGGATGCTGTGAAACATTCCTAAGTTCCCATACTTTTAGATTGTCTACAAGTAATTTCCTTTTTTGAGTTACCCGCTTGGATTTTTTCCAGGAGAACTTGCTTGTCATTGCTTGGCTTCATGTTGGGTTTAGCTGTGCTTGGCATGCAGTTACGCCATCATTCGAAAGTCTTATTGAAAGGCGCTGCATTGAGGGCCGAGCGGTTCCCTTCGGTTTCCTTTGTATTATCTCTTATATTCTTAGATTTGTCATAAGTTTTTTTAGAATTTCTAAACTAGATGCAATCGTTTATCTTCATTTGTTCATCCTCGACAACCTTGTCAGTAAATGGCTAGCCCTCGGATCGCGTCAAAGATTTCCGCTTCTCAGAATAAGTGAGTGGAGAGGAGAGAGGGCGGGGGGGGGGGGGG